GCGGCGCTGACTTGAGACCGGTCTCTACCTGACCGGAGTCACGCTGTGTGTGTCCGTCAGGAAACAAGCTGTTAACAAGTAGTTCCAGCAAACATCCACTGATAAACTGCGATGTTAATAACCTCATATGTTTTTAACTTAGGATCATACCTGTGTTTAGTCTAGAAAAAGGTAAATGTGTGCATTTTATTATAAAGTTGTGAATATTTACAGACTGTCGCAAAAACTAAGAAGCTTATAAACATCAGGTTTAAAACTAAAAGAGACACAAAACACAATGGAAGATGTTCGGAGTTCTATTTGAGTTATTAATTTTAATGTTTTGTCTATGAGATGCTGATTTGAAACCGTTGTTACATACAGTCACGGCTTTTCCTGTTTTTGCCGGAGAGAGGGGAGGCCGCCCCAAAGCTTGCCGCTGTATTTACTCCCTCCATCTGACAGGAGGGAGCCTCGTTGAGCTGCGAGTGTCATTCCACTGAGTTCACTCCGTCACGGAGGGGGAGTGTGTAGGTGTAGGGCGTGGTTTGGGATTGGGCCTTAGTCTTACAAATAATCAACAATCTAAATAACCCTTCAGTGCATATATTTAATATTAATAGAAAAACAGACAAAACAATGTTTACATTTATTATTAATAATTGGATGTATGCCTGTCCAAATCCGCTCCGTATCACCTAGTAACGCAATTTCTAAACCCATAACCACTTTCTAGTTTGTTTCCACTTTAGAGTTAACACTGATCACATGGCCTCTCTTAAATCTATTTGAGGTCATTTTTTCATAGTGTCAGATAACCTTCAGTATTCATTTACTAACATCTTCCTGTTAAAATGTATTGTAAAATAAAGCCTCTTTCTCTTTCCTTACTATGACGCCCTATTCCCTGTTGTGTAACGCAGATGGCGCCCTAACATAGCATAGATGTGAGCTGTCGTTATGGCTGACCTGTAGTTGATATCCTTGTCTTTGCCATCCAGGAAGCGCTGGTGCATCTGACCGATGAACTCCTCCCTGAGCAGAGCCTTCTCCTCTGCCGTGGGCTCCCAGTCCTTCTGCTGGGCGGTGATCACTTCCGTAGGAACGAGAAGAGAGACAGACTTAGTGAGTCAAAGTAGGATCGGGAGAAGAAGACAACAGAAACAGGGTTCTTTTCACTTCAGTCCACAGGAACCACATTTATTTAACAACCCCCCACTTTAAATGTTCCTTTAGTCTTTTTTATTTACCTACTTTTATATTGTTTTATTTATTTTATAGGTCTTAATCTATTTGTATTTCTGTAGTGCCTATATGTTCACTTTGTTTTATGGGGTTTTATATTTTATATTGTTGAATCGATTCAGTGTGGCGTGTGGCGCAGTGGATAGAGCGTTGGTGTTCGGATCAGAGGTCAGGGTTTGTTTTTAACTTGTGATTTTGAGCTGCATGTGTTGTATGAAAAGTGCTATATAAATAAAGCTTTATTATTATTATTATAACACCAGCCTCTCTCACCATCTTCCTCATCCTCGTCCTCCTCCCTCGCTCCGTCCTCTCTCTCCTGCTCCCTCTGCAGGCGGTCCTGGATCAGACGCTCCTGGTAGGAGTTGAGGAGGAGTTGTGTGAGCCCCCCTTTGTTTCCTGCTGGAGCCACCGGGCCCCCCTGTGCATCGTCCAGAATGGACTCCTGGGAGCGCGCCAGCACCTGGAACACAAGTCGTTTGGAAATGATGTAAAAAAAAAAAGAAGGTAATTATGAAATAGAACTTCCCAGCACCGCCCTGCATCATGCTCTCACCTCCTCATCAGTCAGGTACTGGCCGATGTATTGTTCATACAGCAGCGGCTCCCTTATCCGCATCTGTTCGTCACTAAAATACTCTCCGCCTGGAAGAGGGAGGGCAGAAGAGGACAGCATCTTAATTTAACGCACAGGTAATGTACTTCATCAGGTATATGGTGGATACAAGACTGATAGAAATGTTCGGGGTGGCAGCAGATATCTCAGCAGAAGATGTCTTTAAACCTCACTAAGTAGAACCGAGACTATCTTTTTTAAAGTCTGAACTGGGGATTTGTTTGTCTGTCAAAGGACTTCATATATGCTGTATATACACAAATATGTTTATCTATTCTTTCCCTGGAATATTGCAGTTTAAATGAATACTATTAAAACATTGACAATTAAATCTAATTTAATTTGTTTTACCAAAAACTACAACAAGTGACAGAATCTTCTCAGACTCAAAAAGCCATTGACAAATTACAAATCCAAAAGGTTAGAGAATAAAAAACAAAAAATGGATTGCAGCATAACCCACTTTATACATGTTTGAGTTTCCCAGAAGAAAACAGGTGAAGCATATGTTAATCAATGTCCATTTTCTAGCCTGTCTTATTGATTCTTGTACTTGCGAGGTCTGAACTTGAATGAATGAACAAATCATCTCTTCCATTTGACTAAAGAAGGCCCTACCCTCCTGCAGGGCCCTGAGAGCCGCGTAGCGCTGGTTTCGAACCCTCGTCCTGTTGGTGAACGCTGCAGCTCGTCTCTCTATCACTTTGCCGTAGTGAAGAACCCGTGGATCTGAGCTGACGTGGGCAAACACTGACAGGTCCTGGGGCTTGAGGCACACCTAGAAATGGGTGAAGAGTAGATAGATGTTTAACCTTAAAGCTAATAGCTCCTTTCAGCTGCTGCCAAGTATATATACACCAGTGGCGAACCGTGTCTATCACAACTGGACCTTCTGTAGACACACACCCCCCCCCCCCCCTGCCGCCGCCTGTAATATTGCAGGTCAACAACACAGATACAATTCTCTTTTATTTATTTTATTGACATTTTATTTATAAAATTAAATCGATTTTTGTTTGTTTTATCTGAGTGTTTCAGGGTATTCTCTGGAAGGCCCTGACGGTTCACCACTGATATACACACCAATGCGTTTGTATATAGAAACATAATGGAGCTGTATAGCGCCGGTGATGATGGCTGCCGTGTCTTTTGCTCCTCTCCAACTCTGCCTTTTTTACCCGCTTTATTTCAGTGTTTGTTTACTTTTCGTTGTGCGCTTTTCATATTCTGTTCTTCTACATATAAAATTCTACTTACATGTACATATATATAGACTTTTTATTTTATTATATATGTTGCATTGTTGGAGGAGCCCAGGTCAGAAGAATTCCATTGCCATTTCTACACTGTAGCTTTGTGCATATGACAATAAAAGCTTTACTTTGAACACTTACATGGTACCTCTCCAGGAACACCAGCGGTCTGCTCCTGTACTGCTGCAGGAGCTCCTCTCTGCGCTGATCCAGGGTCAGCTCAGCGTCTCCTTTCTGCTGGCTCTTCACTGAGCTGCCACTCCTGGCTATGGCCTCCACCATTTCATTCACACAGGTGGACTCTGCCTGGCTCACAGGCTGAAAAATAAATAAATAAGATGATAAGTAGTGAGTATACAAAACAGGTCATGCTGCTGATGTTGGGGGTGCTTGGGACTTAAGACTTCCATTGCCATATCGACACAGTAGCCACTTGACATTAAAGCTTTTGAACATTTTAACATTGGATATCTCACCTCTGTGTCTTGTTGTTGTTGTTGTTGTTGTGGCTGACGTGTGTCTGCGGGGCGGTGAAAGCCACATATCTGGGAAAATGTGACCCCGTTTTCTTCTGGTAATTCAGGCTCGTCTTTGCTCTCACATAAATGAGGTTGTGTTTTAACTGGAGGGTCTATTTCACCCCACATGGTTAACTGTTAGCTTAGCTTTCTAACGTGTTTACAGAGGAAGCTAAGTGAATTAGCATTAAACAAGCTAACGTTTATGTCCGTTGTTGGCCGTTATACTGTACTGAAAAGGTTGTCGTGGAAACCGAAGGTGCTGGTAAATTTTCTCAATTTGGTGTGAACATTCACTCGTGAAAAAAAACTATTAATTCCACACATTTGTTTCAGTTGTTTAGCATTAGCAATGTTTTGCCGCCATGTTGGTCCGTCAAAATTATTGGTCCCCGAGACGGAAAGAATGGTTCCGCCCGGAAGAGGCTGTGCTGTTGAATTTGTCGCCATCTGGTGGTAGCTTTGTGACAGAAGAAAGTGGACCTACTGCCTACTGCTTAAAAATATATATTTGTGTGGCCTCAAACTGTGGAGAAGCTTCCCCTTGGATCAGCAAACTCCCGTAGAAATGTAAAAGAGTAGGCTACAATTAAGAGCTATCTTTTAATCAGTTCATGTTTGATTGTTTTATGGGTTTGTGATGTAACTCTTTGTTTTGTTTGTATAATTTGTTTTTGATTTTGTTTCTTATTAAGTTATTTTTAACTCGTTGTTATTGTTTTTAATGATCTTATCTTGCTCTGTAAAGCACTATCGTCAAATAGTGTACATTTAAACTACTGCTACATTTAATCTCATCTTCAATTTCCACCTTCTCCCTGCTGTATTAGTGCTGCTGATTAATATTAACCCAACAACACAATGCTTTAATGTTTGCAATAACAAACTAAATAGAGGTGCATCCTCTGTTTGCAGGACAGGCGAGTCACATACTGTAAATGTTTTACTACGGAGCCAAGAAGCGCTCAGGATCAAAGAGCCACTCCCACAGAAATACATGGACTTACATTTTATATCTGCGTATCCAATCCACTTTTTATTGTTAGATAGTGTGTTGCGGACCAACAACTGACAAATAGCACGGACTGTTAATGTCTCAGTATGTCTTTGAAGAGGCGGCCTTACACCGTCACATCGATGCTTTCAAAACAATTGCTCTAACTTACTTGTCTGTCCTCATTCAGTAGGCTAAACAATGCGAGTTGTATTTTGAAAGTTTTAACAGGAAATAGTTTGTTCTCATCCTAGTTGACTTCGCACAAACTTCTCGCGTCAGCTTCCAGAAACTCTGCCAGTGTTTCGGTTGTATATGTTCGAGATTTACAATAACATGGACGCCATACAGGAACAAAGATAATACCAAGGTACGTATATAAAACGGATTAATGCATGCTGCGTAACTCTCTTTAAGAAACTGCTTTAAAGTAGAGTAGACTGTCAAACCTATATTAGTATTACTTTACATTTAATTTAGCTGACGCGTTATCCCTACAATAAATGCAATAAACCATGAAGATACAAACTCAGAGCAGCAAGTTAGATTCACTTTGAATGAACCAAACCATCGTAAGTGGTGTTGCAATAGTTTAAATAAGCTAAAACCCTTTAAGTCTACTACGTTTTAATATTTTTTACAAAATCAGGAGGATACATACTTTACTGACTCGGTAATATTTAACGTGAAAAATATCATAACATCAATACAAGTTATAGTAAGTTGGTGAAAAGTCGACTATATTTACTCCAGTACTGTACTTAAATTGAGGTACTTCTACACCAATTGAGTATTTTCACAGTATAATACTTATAATATTATAGTATTTTTTCCAACTTTTCTCCACTTCTGAGTAATTTGCTGGACATTTGGGAGCATGGACATAACTTTGTTTTGAAAAGTGGCCAGGACCCTTTATTCACCCATAAAACAAAATGCAATACACAAGTAAAGTAAGCCTTCTATTTGTCAGCAACACCTGTAAAGCCAGGATTTACAATGTGGGGCTACAACCTAATTACAACCTTAAAGACAATATCAACACCTGCAGCCTGGATATTCAACAGGATTTACACGGACGGACTACAGAACAATATCACTCAACACATGTATCATCTGTCATACAGGATTTACACAACATGATTACAACAATATCAACACAGCAGGCCTTTTCAATGACAAAGCAAACACTTCTGTCCCACAACAGATCCATGATTCAGATTCTTACTTGACCATCATCCCGCCCTGCTGCTGCAAAGCGGGAGCCATGTTTGCTTTTCTATTTTCTATTCAAAGTTGACAAACATTAAATGTGTCACATGTCTAAATTGCACCTCTTAGGCTCACAGAAATACACACCCAGGAAGTGCAAATAGACACATTTTTCTTGAGATCTGCTTTTGAGCGAAGAGTTCTTTATTTATTACATTTCTTTGTGCATGGAATCTTTCCAACAAAAAAATCATACTTTTAAAAGGTGGTGGGGGAGACAAAATTGGCCATTTCAAAGAAGTGTTGGTGTCATGTCCAGCGTGAATTACACAGATTTTTGCAAGGTTTTTCTCTCTGCTTTGCTACTGAAAAAGCTGCGGAAAGCAGAGTCATGTTTTCCCCTTCGACTGGACTTAATGACAGCTGCACTCAAAACATTGTTTACATTCCAACACAAACACGCAGGGATATTCTGGGGCTAAATTAAGCCGGTGTTGCCCCCTTTGTCTTCCTGTGCAGTGTTCCATACAATAGATATGTCTCATGGCACAATGAGTGAGTTCATCTTGTCAGCTCTGATATCAGACACGTTACATTAGTAGCCTAAGACTTGAACTGAGTCACAGATAAGCTTTTGGTGGGACCATAACAACAACTGCAGTGTTTTAATAATACTGTCTCTTAAAGTGTTTTTTCGTTAGGACCATAAAGAACATTTTAACGCTATATTGTAGAAGGACAATAATACCCCCGCAAAATGATCGAAGACATGCTCTCTCATTTCTAGTCTTAAAGAGGCCCTATATGTTATGAGGTTACACTAGTACAGTATTAGTGTCTGTTTGTTGTGCATGGAAACTCGTGGCCCTTAAACTCAGCTTTGCAACATCCCAAGTGTGCGTCAATGTTTTTCTTCACTTCCTAGGTCCAAGCTTCGATCTGAATCCCTGGTAATAATGGAGACCGAGTTTGGAGCGAGTCCTAATTCAGGTGCCTTCACCCCGAGCCCCCATAGTGACGCCGTGGCCAATGAGCTGCAAGAGATGTCCCTGCAGCCCGCCCCCAACCTGCTGCCAGTCAGAGAGAGGAAAGATGGTGAGCTGCAATTTTTTAAAACTCAAATATCAACCCACTTCCACTCATGCAAAGTTACATTTGGTGTCCCACAAGGGTCTTTAATGGGCCCATACATTATGTTATTTCTAAAGCAATGGAGCAGAAAAACTAAGGAATAGTATGTGTCTGTGATTATAAATACAATACTTTATAGACATTTTTTTATTTGTTCACCTCATAGGATGTTGCATTGTTAATGAAACTCTGCAGAGTTCCAGATGTGTATCTAAAGCAGTCTGTGGATAAAACTGTTTGTTTTGGCTTCAGATGTAAGGCTTATTTACACCTTGTATTAAACAAACACTCAGGTTTTTATTTTGGGTCCTGATGTCTATTTGTGAGTGGGTTGTCAGTCATGTTTTTTCAAAGGCTACAGCTTCTACTTGTTGTTGTTTTAGCTGCACTTCCTTAAGGTAGCATAAAGAGATGATTTAGTTCGATTTGTTTGGCATACTTTTTTCTCACGATCCTGGTCATGCTGTACTAATTTCTTTCAAACTTGGCTATGCGACTATAAAAGAGTGAAATGCTTTGTGATATTTATCGCCCTATTCTTTATTTTTTTCCTTTTAGTTATGTTTTTTATGCATTTGACCAATTATAGCCCACTCCTGAGCACAAATTAATATAGATTTCATGCCAAGAGATCCAGATAAATCGCCGTAAAGAGAGAAAGGACACGGTGCCTCAAGTGTAAACCCTTTTCCCCTGAATGGATAAAGTTTAATCCACAGGAGAAAATATTTTCCTCCTTTCTTCTCCTCAGAAGGATACATCACAGGGATCTTCAGTTTTTTACATTTCAGTTTCAGAAGTGCAATAGCTAAATATCTGCTAATGTAAGTAAACAACTGACAGTTAATTGAAACGTAGGCAAAGGACTGTACCAGTTAGACAGGAATGACCTCTATTTTACAATGTGGGCATGTCACCACCTGCTGGCAAATACTAATACTACAACAACCCTTTTTTTAAATAGAAAACACATGTGAACCGAACACAATACGGTTTGATGGAGTTCATTTTTAGTCTCCTTCAAGTCGTGGGAATCAGTCCCAGATAACCCCTTTTTATAGTGTGTGTGTGTGTGTGTGTGTGTGTGTGTGTGTGTGTGTGTGTGTGTGTGTGTGTGTGTGTGTGTGTGTGTGTGTGTGTGTGTGTGTTGATTTTAGGAGGCCCAAAGGCAAGATGGCGGAGAGGTGCTCACACAGGTGCATATCCTTGATACCGCACTCAGCTTAGATCAGAAGTGCTAAGTGAGAGGAATTTGGTGAGAAGGAAAGGGGCACCACTCACAATGTGTGTGTGTGTGTGTGTGTGTGTGCGTGTGTGTGCGTGCGTGCGTGTGTGTGCTCGCGTGCAGGACGCCTGTTTGTGTCTGTCAGTGTCTGAATGACGTCCAGCCGTGAGTTCAGCAGCAGCTGGTACAGACTGCTTGATCACAGATTCACAGACAGTTGACACACACACTCTCACACACACGCGTCTCAGTCAGTCCTGTAGCCGCAGCAGAAGCGCAGTACTTCTGAATTTATACACTTTTTTTTACTTCAACATTACATACATTGAAGGAGGACTTTGTTGTGAGGAATGCTTTCATTCAATGTAATTAAGGAGGTTTTTCCCAAAAGATTTTGAAGCCTCTTTTTAAGGTCTTTGATTTCAGAAACTTTGCCCAACTCTTCTTTTCATGTTTCAACGCTTTGAAGAATATTTTTTGTATTGATAGCAACGTCGTCACAGAGGATTACGCTCTTCTGTTCACCGGCCGTAGAGCCTCATCCAGCCCACATCCTGCTCCTGGCTTTTCCCTGCTTTGGACATATTCAGATTAATATCTTAGTTTGATGGCCATGCTGGAACACCTGCCTTGCATCCGCATTAACCCCGCCCCTCTCAGGCCTCAGCCAATCAGCAGGGACATGGAGGAGAGAGCGCTGCGGTTTGAGTTAGAGCGGCAGGCCTGTCAGAGTCTCAGACAAGGTGGGACACGTGTTGTTGTGTTTCATGCTTTGATTTTAGGACTGATACTATTGTGTTATGATTCACTATATTGGAGAGATTGATCATTTTAAATCAATTTAAGTTTAAATAATCATGGTTTGATTACTTAAGAGGATCGCTTCTGAACAAATATGTTTTTTTAAGTCTATAGAATACATTTTGTAGGCCAGGATATCTCTGCATCTTCATTCAAAACGGTCATTTGAGCACATATTGAGCCTTAAACCAATATTGTAGTTCCTGCGATTACAATATTGCACTAAAGACTATATTGCCATTTTAATTTAATGAATGGTGG